AATAAAAAAAAAACAAAAACTGAATAAAATGGATTTAACCGGTTTTGCACGGATGCTCCTCAATTACTTTCAGAGCTGATACCAAGGTGAATCAAGTTAGAGAAAAATTGTTATAGGCTCTTTTAAAAAGCGTTAAATACTCTGTAAGTAACAATAAACCACAATATGATAGCTTAAAACCCGGCACAGATATAGAAGTTGAAATTGATTAAAAATACATGCTTCAAAATTCAAAATAAAAAAGGGAGTGCTTAGAATTAAAATAAAGGGTTCAAATAATATTTTGGCGTTTCTGTGAAAACCAAAAAATAGTCGTTTTAAATGAAGCACCCTTATAGTCTTATAAGACTATGCTTTAAATTTAAAAAGACTTTTGGCCATGTAGACATTGGTCCGTCCCTATGTGGTCCTTGGCGGTGGCGTGGCGTAGCAAGGAGCGGCGGCTTATGCAGAGCAGAGCACAAGAGCAAAGGAAAAGTAAAAACGGCCTGCGTGGCACAGTCTGTTGGTTGTGTTCTAAAATCGGGCGCTGGCCCAAAGCCAGATGGCCGTATGCCTCATGCAACAACAAACACACAGCTCCGTCAACCTCCTTCTCCTCCATCTCCAACCAACACCACAATGTTGCCAAATTATTAATCCCATTTCAATTTTCCAAAACAACAACAACAACAACAACGCCAAAAGCTTGAGAACATAAAATACATAATTGAGTGAACACAAGAACCCTGAGAACCTTTTGCGGCCCAAATATCACCTTTCCCAACTTTGCCTCGTATTTTTTATTTTCTTAAATGCGGTTTAAATAGTTTAAATCTTGTATTTTGGCAACACTGAATTTTACTCGCGAGCGAGCGAACGCTGAGACGCGTGATCCAATTTACACAGTAGTAGTAGTGGCGGGCGATGAAGGTTTTGCTCTTTTCTGCATACCGACAAGCGCGTACAAAAATACTTCGACAATACGTATAGCCGCCGCTCTTCTATCTCACCTCTGCGGATCACGCTTCTAGTGTCCGTATTTTTAGAGCGCCATCCGCGAAATATGTCTGTAATGAACTTTCCATACATCCGAAAGTTATGGGGATAAGTAGCTACAAGCCAAACATGCATGTCGACGAGCAATATGCACTTTGAAAATATCTGTGGTGTAAAGGGTAATCTTAAAATGGTGTCTAAATCCAACACCAAGTGGTGATAATATAAACACCATGAATTATGCTTGAAAATGTTATATACAGCAAACACCAAATCGGTGCTTATCTAAAAATATTTGAGAAGTGCACCTACACAGAAAAAAAGGAATAGTTCATTTACCTATATTAATTTAGTTGACCCATAAGTATTTATTTAAATCAACTGTGGGAAGGTTAATATAAACAAAGATTAGTTTGACGGTACTAAACCAGTTATTTCAGTTATTTTATTTTTTTAAACTGGTTAAATTAACCCAAAAAACTTTAGTGAAACCAACCCGCTGTATGGTTCACTTTACTAAATATGTTGTTTGTAAAATAAGAGTTACTTCAACCTAAAGCACTCTGTTAAAACGATTAAAACAATTTGCCGTGCATTCCTGGTTGCATAGTATGTACCGATCGCAGCAAAGGCGGTGTGGATCACGTGATGTTCTTAAATCTCGCCTCTGTTGGCTTACATAAAGGGTATATAAGCTCAGGTAGTCCTTTGCTTTGGTGTGACACTACAAGTTGTTCGATACTAAAGAGACCTTAAATAGGTGGAAACAGCTGTCAATATTTAAAGTATTTTAAGTTGGTGGAAAGCACTAAAAACATTATCTCTAGCGAGTTGAAGGTTCAATTTTCTGGTAATATACTAGTAATGCGTCAAGAAACTTCCTGTTTCCTTTTTCTTCCTTTTTTTCTGTGTAGTATGATTTAATTTGACCAAAAACACATAATATTTAACATTGAAAAGGAGTTCAATTTACACCACGTAAAATTTATTTTAATACTGTGCACATGTGAAAGTTAAATTTACATTATTTTAGTATTTGAATTTACACTGGTTTGTATCGATATATATATATCGATGGGGTTAAAATGGTCATGAAATTGCCCAGCAGAAATTAAAATCTCTAGGTATCTAAAGTTTTGGGAATTTTTTCATACATGAATTTATGATGAGCAACAAACAAGTTACCATTGTTCACAATTATTCATTGCTAAGCAATCTTGATATGTCAAAAAGCATTTGTTTCAAATTTCTCAAAAACTCGAAATTCGAAAAAGTATCTACAACCTTGTTGAACGGCTATCGAAACGTAAAGTTGTAAATATTTTTCGAAAACGAAAATATCTCCAAAACACAAAAAAGTGGACGACACATAGTTCTTAGTGAAGTTCGTGAAAACAGAGTGGTTGAAAGCGCAAGACATAATGTGGGTACATATCATAGAAAACTGTCAAGGAGATTTCATGCATCAAGTGCCACTATTATAGTATATATAATACGAAGAACACTTAAAAGAAGAAACTTAAAATATCGCAAGAGATGGAAATGCCCAAAATACACCCAGAATCAATTACAGAGAATCCCGTTATGCTGCAGAAGACATTTCGCGAACAACAAACGCATTATTTTGGATGACGAAAAATATTTTACTCTTTCAATTTCGGAAATGAAAGGAAATGATGGTTTTTACACTGATAACATTGCGAAGATAAAGTTTTAGTTTGCTGCCATTTCAGATAGAGGTATCTCTATACCGTATGTTGGGCGGGTAAGAGGGGAAGATGTTGATGCTAATATATATATACCTACCCAAATATGTCTTCCAAAATTAGTTGATTTTATTAACGAACATCACCTTAGAGATGAAATAATGTTTTGGCCTGACCTAGCATCATGCCCTTATGCTCGAATCACCAGAGATTGGTTAGCATCACATAACATACTTTTTGTGCCCAAGAAAGACAATCCTCCAAACATACCTTAAGCTCGCCCAATTGAAGCTTTTTGTTCCTTACGAAGCAAGAAGGTCTATGACAATGGTTGGGAAGCCGCGTAAGAACAGATGTTGGGTGTGGTCGTAGAATTTATCAAAAAATTTGAAAAGTCCACAGACTAATGCGACAAGTTTGAACTAAGCCGCCAAATTGAACAGTTCGTTGAGGTTATTTTTTTCCAGTGTACTTAAATATATTCTTCAAAATTGTTTTTTCGGTGTTTAATTTTTTCCCAAAACTTAAGATGCATACGTTACTTTGGTAGACTTTTATCTAGCTTCAATTACAATGTTTTAAGAAAGAATTGAACCTTCACCTCGCCAGAGTTTTTGGTTTTGAGTGCGTTCCACCAACTTCAAATACCTTAGCTCAGGTAGTCTTGTGTTTTGGGTGTGTTCCACTACACCAAGTTGCCCGACACTGATGAGGCACAATATAGGTCGAAACAGCTGTCTGTCGGTAATTAAATTTGGTAGAACGCACTCAAAACAGAAATGTGAAGGTTTAATTCTTTTTTATGAATATTACCAGTATTGCACAGAAAAAAATTGTTGGATTTGTTTCATAATTGTATGAATTTGTTCAGAAAATTGGCGATAAAAAAGTGACAGGAACAATTTGTGCAAAGTTGTAGCAAATAATTGTAGTAAACTTATTATATTAAAAACATTTAAAACAAACTTTATTTGACATTTGAACATATTTTAATCTAATCGGTTCATATAATTTGTGTAAGTAAATGAGTATTATAGAGACTTTGTACAAATTGTGGCACATAATAACACAAAATTGTTTTACAATAATTTCTCCAATTTATTTAAAAATATGAAAAATAAACTATAAACTGAAAAATAAAATTCGTATAGCTAATTCTAATAATATTAAGATTTAATTCAACATGAAGTGCGTCTCCACTTAAGATAATAGTACAAATGTCGATAGATCAAATAAGTATTCAGCGACCAACACAAAAAGTATTAACTTAATATAAACTAAAAACATAAAATAAACATAAATTACAAGCTAATAATTTCTCCAATTTGTTTAAAAATTTTAATAATTTTTGGGATGCGAGGGTGGTAAAAAAGGAAAATGTATTCAGCGACTTATACAAAAAATATGGAAAATAGGATACCTAAACTTAATATAAACTGACACTGACAACATAAAATAAACATAACAAAACATAAACTACAAACTGAAAATAAAATTTGTATAGCTATGTAATTCTAATATTCAATATACAATGCGTCTCCACTTATAATAGTACAAATGTCGATAGTTTAAATATGTATTCAGCGACCAACACAAAAATTTTGTAAGGATAGAATTAAGTTAATATAAACTGAAAACATAAATTACAAACTAAAGTAAATAGTAAGCTAATGAAGTGGGAACATACTACATTTTATCCTCATTTGATCACCATGTCATAATTATTGAGTTATCCCAGTCCCTGAACAATTTTGCAAATATCTACCTACCTATTCGGAAACATAATATCCAATAATTACTTACTAGAAATGTGGTACTAACCTCACAATGATACACTTCCTAACACAAACTAAAACTGCAAACTGATGATACAGATTGCAGTTAAGCGACCGGCCGGTGTCTTATTTCAAGCAGGAAATCATTTCATTGGTTATCTTAGGTGGTGTGATGCTTCACGCCCGAACAAATTGTCCAATATTGTAACTCAAAGTTATACTATATTTATACGAATTATTTAAAAAATTGTACAAAAGAGTAACATTTATTTTTGAAATAGATTTCAATTTTTTCCCTTAACAATATTCTGCAAATGGTTAAATATAAAATCTTACTGTTTCCAAGAAAATATAGGAAATTGAAAACCAATCCAACTATCTTGGATAACGTAGCACATTTATAGAAAATTATGCTCCAATGGCATGATGCACAACTTTTGCAGTTTTTTAAACGGATTTTTCTCTGTGTGGGTCAAAAAAGTTTCTTGAAGAAAGTTTACTTTCTTAATAATGTAAATGATTGTTGTTTTTTTTTTTTCAGGCGAGGATACAGGTGCTTTGAAGGTTAGATCGCATGAGACAACCGGTGCTCAAAATGGTTCTGGTCGTGTCCGCGACGGGATGCAATGTCCAAGCCACGGCTTGCCATCGAAAAAATATATTCGCGCCAACCTGGGAATCGAAGGGTGCATCCTGCATTCGGTAGAGTGCAGGAGTGTCGCGATAGGACATTTTGTCTGGCGGTGTTGAGCTTTTGGATCCTGCTGCGGTGGCGACTGAAATTCTGGATCGGTGCGGTGAATATAGTGTTGGTGATTAATTTGGTGGTGTTCAGAGTGAGAACGGCCCGCCCACGCGGACCACGCTGTTGGACTTCAACTGCCCAACTGGCCGGATTCCTCCTCTTTCTGGCCACTTTGACCATTGCGGCAAAGTGTCATGCTGCCGCGAACTACCACAGGCCTCCCAGCAACCACCCACCACCACCATTACCGTATTCCAATGTCCCCCGCACCTCCAGCCTAGCTTTAAGGAAGCTGCTTCCACCTCCACGAACCGCAAGTGATATTAACCATTCTCTTAGAACTAAACGCTTTGCTAATCTGAAACCCTGGAAACCGAACCCCGAAGAAAATTCCACCTCCAGTTTTAATAGCCGTCAGCGCGAATCAGGTAGCGGAAACAGTGCGGGTTTTAGTGATACGAGCGACTCAATTAAAACTATCAACGACAATTCGGGCCACCAAGCGACCAACAAACGACCACAGCACGAAGTACAGTTCATGCAGCCAGTTCATTTGCACGACATAAATTCAAGTAAGTCCCCAAATATTTTTTGATTCTCAGGAATATGCTGCTACGTTACGAAACTCATAATTTCCATAAGTTGATATGAATATAATGAAAACCAAAATTTGTTTTATGTCAAAAATAATATGACATTTTTAACAACATACAGTGACTGGCAAAAGTACCTATGTAAAAAATTCATTAAAAAATCAAGTCTTCTAAATTTTGTGGTCTGTTGATTTGAGGTAGCCCCATAAGAAATAATCGAGAGCATCGCCTGTTCAAACCAAATGGTATCACTTGGTAGCTCGGGACCTCCATTCTCATTGGAAAACATTTCTGCTAATGTGGGAAGAAGAGATTTTTGCAAAAATTCCAAATACGTTCGTCCTGTCATATTCTGGTCAAGGAAGGAAGGACCTATTTTTCACCAGTTCTGCCCAGACATTCACTTTTTGCCGGTATTGGGAATTTGCTTCTACTACCCAATGAGGATTTTCTCTGCTCCAGTATCTACAATTTTGGCGGTTGACTGTACCATTTAAACTTCGTGTGGATTATTGTTACATACATTCATCATAGTTTCACAAAATTGTAGTCTTCGGTCCAGATCATCTTCGTTAAGTTCCTGCACTAGTCTAATTTTGTATGGATGGTACTTTTCTTTCTTTATAAGACGTAATACAGAGCTTTGGCTGACTTGACTTTCAGCTGCGACTAGGCTAGAAGCACTGTGAGGATATTCTTCCACACGTAACAAAATGTCAATTTTAGTGTCTTGACTAATACTCGGACTGTCAGGTTTTGGAATATCTTTGACATGTCCAACTTCTTGTTGTGTTCTAGTTTTATTTCCACATCCTGTAAGAATTAAAACTGTGTGTGGATCCGTTAAATGGCCGATATGTAAAAACCTTGAAATATTTAAAGAACGCTTAAGAGACAGATACTTTACTGAACGCTGAACTTAAAGTTTTTATATCTAGTAGTGAAAATTAAAAACTCTATAGAATATCAAAACATCATTAAAATCTATAAGTTTCCACTCTAAATAATCTCGTAAACTTTCAGCTTAAAAGGTATAAATGCATATTGTTGAAATCACAATTTCATAATTTATTCGAATCTCAAAAACAAGAGGAGGTACAATTTAAAAAATGGCCGATTACGTCAGATTTTGTAGAAAAATTAAAGGATTTATTGTGTAATTTTTAAATAAAGTTGTTTCATACTTTGTATATAATAAACGCGTTTGTATAATACATTGTTTCAAGAATAATATTCTGTAATTTGAAAGAGGAATGCTACTGCCAGAAATAATAATACTAAGAGTTCAGGACTTATTATTTTTGTATTCTAATTGGCCACACAACACCTGGCTATCGTAGACACTTCAAGCCAGAAAACAAAAGCCCAGACTGCCAACTTTCGATTACATACGTGGTAGAGAGACGACTACACAAACGGAAAAATATAAAATTATCAAGTTGTCCTGCTAAATTTTCATAATAACCTCGTTATTTCGCAAAAAGAAGCCATCAAGATTTTATCTCGCAGATCTGCCATATTCTACCTCCATCGAGCCCACAAACTTTTAATCTCGACCAGTTCTTTTTTATAAAATTCTGATACAACACGGATGCATAAATATACGGTAATGAACCACGTCGTTTTTTAGTATTCTTTACGATGCTTGGCTGTGTCTCGTTTTGGGTAAAAGCAGACCACTACAGGGAAAGATTGCATCTCATGCTGGAAATTAAGATTTTATCGCAGTGCGCTGGAATTGTTCTAAATTACATGAATCATTCTTTGACCGTGACGGAATGGTGTGGTATCTGCTTGCTGCCTACTACAAAACATTTATAACTATCTTCTTATTCTAGACGAGTCTTTATTTGTTCTATATCTACTACTTATGCATACCAAGTAACAAATAAAATACCAGTATACCAATAAGAACTCAATTTAAACTATTATATAAACTTCTTTCTAAAACCAAAGCACCAGGAAAACATTGTTTACTCATCAAGTAGAGCCCAAAAATCTTGTGATATATTTTTTCTACTCCCACCTTTAAAACGCCCTTTATCGTACATGTTTCCATGTCACTAAGTGACCTTTTAAATACACATTGACAAGTTGTGGCTTTATGGCGCTTTAGTCACGGGCTGAAGTTAGCAACAGGTTTTTAGTCACGGGCTGAAGTTAGTTTTAAGTTAGTTGACAGTTGTCAAATATCATACAATCGTTAAAATAAAGTGCCTTTCTTGTAAAATAATACTAAATGTGAAAATTATTTTATTATCTTAATACAAAAATACAAAAGTATTAAATAGTTTCTCAACGCCAATATTTGAAAAGTTTATATGAACATTGTATACTGACCTTTTAATTTCGCCGGCAGTAAACTATAACTTAAATTCGGAGACGGACTCCACTGTAAAGTGCTCATAAAACATTTTCTTTACTTTCACTGTGAAAAACTGTCAATTTTCAAGAAATACATTTCGATTTATAACCTTTATAATCTGTGTTTATTAAATATAAAAATTTGACATTTGACGGTGACACACAGATTCCCCTATTGTTTCATAGATGGCGCTCTATACAAATTTTTGATTTAAATCATTTTAAGATAATAATAGGTATTTGTCGTAGAAAAAGTATAGTATGCACCTAGTTTATAAACTTTTCTATACACTCATTAATTTAAATTAAATTCGTGGCGTTTATCAAACTTGATACATAATATACTATAAAACATAAAAAATTTCTTCCCTATAAATTAAAAATAATACACAACTTTTGAACATCTTATTTGATGAAAACCAAAATTTGATTCGATAATTAATTTTATTTAAACGTTTAAAATACCTAATAGCAACCATTGAACAGATTTTAGATTTTATATAAGCGTTAAATAGGGAATAAAAATACCTAGTCAAAAATGACAATGGTTTTTGTCTGATGTCAATATCTTTTTTAACATTTGATATTATTGTTGTTACCTAGACTTTATACACTTCGAGTTAAAAGAACCATTTATGAAAGTTAAAATATAAATGTTGTTTTAACAAATTAAAATAATTAAATTAAAATTTCAGAAATATATTTTCACCTATTAAAATAAAATACACGGATTATTAAAATAATATTATCGTAATATTTAATCAAATAATTAAAAATATTAATTTAATGCACAATTAGTAAAGAAATAATAAACATAGGGGAAGTTTTAATATTTAAAATTACTTGGATTAATAAATTTAATGGTTAAAAAAATTAATTTTTACTTAAATCAAATAATTAAAATATTGATTCACAAAATTTTACTTACAAAAGAATATTTTATTTAAAATATTGGATAATTAAACCAAATTTAAAAATATGTAAATGTAACTAACTTAAAAGGTTAAATAAAATATTAGAAAAATTGAAATTTATTTAAACACAAAATAAAACATAATTGATTTAAATATTTTGTTTCACTTTTTTTTAAATTTTTGTATCCAAAATTTAATCAAAACTAAAAAACTTAATTTTATAAAAAAATATACTCCATTTAAAAAAAAACCTGGATTTAACAGCAAAAAAAGTTTAATTAAATACGTATACACTACCTAAATATGTATAGAATACTTGAATATGTATACACTACTTAACCGTATTGGTTTTTTTGTATTCCTCTTATTTCTTTAAAAACCTTATTCGATGCCCTGCTTTTAAAATTAGGTATTTTAAAATTTCGGCGTTGTTTGTATTTAAAAGCTTTTCCTCGTCTATATCATGTCCTACAATAAAGTTTATTTTATGATTAAATAATATTACAATTAAATAATAATAATAATAATAATTAGGTTGGCAAATCCACATTTAGTTTATTATTATGAATGTTATATTTAAACATGTAGGTGGGTAATAATCATGTCACAAGCATGGTAATGCGAGAAAATATTGCTATAAACTTAGCTTCGTCTTCAATTATTACAAAGCAATAATATTAATTAATACACTTACCAAGTTTTTTCACTGTAAAATTGCACCCAAACGACTAAAGTAATAAGATAATATTAATTACTAAGATATGTTGACTTAACATTCTAAGTTTGAAAAGGCAAAATACAAAAGAAGATCGCTTCAATAATTTTACATTTTTATGTGTATTTAATTACTAAAAAAAATTATTTAATCAAATTTCTTAACATTTTTAATTTGACATTCTCATAATATTAATTGAAAGTAAAATGTAAGTTTATGTCAACAAAATGTTTACTGTTTTAATATCAAAAGGCATAGCATATCTTAAACTTTTGATTTAACAAAATAATTTCTCTACTACGTTGGATAAAGTGATCCATAGTGAAGATCAAAAATTACTAAATACGTGCCAGCAAATTTATTTAAAACATAATTTTGAAATGTCTGGATACGGCCGACTGAGATTCAATGCGTTTCCACATTCACAGATCAGAACCTGACAGGTTGTCACCTGGATACGCTCCTGCAGGCACAGCATGGAACGAGACAACCAGCAGCAGCAGCAGTAGTAGTAGCAGTAGAGCTGCAAAGGAATAGACGTGACTGTTGGATAATGCATTCATGAGAAGACAGTGCAACTACTGAATCTCTAACACATGTACTGACGATGTACGTGACTTTTGCTCTTTCGTAGACGCTACGACGCTTGCATTTTAACTATCAATTGGACTTTTGGATTTGGAAATAAGCCTTTTTTACTTGCTTTATGTACACAGGCAATATCCAATTAAAGGAAGCAATGAACCGTCATTATTGTTGTTGCATGTTTTATTTTAATTGAAAAATGACAACTTTGGTGATATGTTAAACAAATAATCGAAATATTCCCCAACGTCTTTTTGAAACAGAGCCCACAAAAGTCAAGTTTATGACCATTCCAGTGCACTCGAGGTCTGGAAGGGATTTTAAGAAAACTGGACTTCAAAATTGCTTTCAGTTCAAGCAGTGAAGAAATATGTTGGACAAACTAAATGATCTATCAAAGT